CAKCCCACTTATTCTGCATATTAACGAATGAGAGAAAAAAATGAAAAGAAAGATACAATGTTCAAGATGGTGGCGGTGTTGGTAAGGCAATAGAGCAGAAAACAAGAAATAGTCTCCTTCGCGGTTCCCTGCTCCATCTTGAAAGGTAGCCGTACCTTTACATCAAAGCGAGACAACCGTTGAGCGTGTAATGATAGAAACCTTACTCTTTCAAACCTACAGACAAATATTCACACTGGTATCTATCATTGCACGCTCAACGGTCGTCTCACTTCGATGCAAAGCTGCAATCCTGGATAAGAGGTTGAGAATAACTAAACCGTGCAGGTCAGTCAACAGAACATTCTCTCTACCCCTTCCCCTCCCCCAAAACCGTGTTGTTAGCACTCAAACAGAACCCAGCAGGTATGTGTGCCCTCGAAAACTTTGAGCAAACGGGGACTGGGGGAGGGCAGGAAAAGATATAGAAAGTATACKTAGACATTCCAACATTCAGCGATTTTTAAAACACTCTCAACTCYTTTTGTCCAGGATTGTAGGCACGGCTACTTTTCAAAATGGCGCAGGTAACCGTGAAGAAGACTATTGTATCACGTACTTACACTGGCGAACAAACAAACAGAACCTTTTTCCAGGAAGAGATAAACTTCATTTCTCCTTTMAGATGTAACGCAGAYCCACTTTCACTACYATCAGAAGAAATCGAACTTTGACTGGAATGATTTATAACCGAGCAGAACCTGGCTGCATTTATGTCACCCTTATAGGGATTATTATTATTGTTGTGATCATTCAACAAAAAGTCCATGTCCTCTTTTGTTAGCTGGTTGATGCCATTTTTACGTACGGCTTTCGAAAAAGATGATTGTCTTGATATTTCTTTGGGCTTGTGTTGCGTTATGTATGAATCACTGCGTGACTGTAAGTCACGACGTATTGTAGATTGCGTGACATTTATTCCATTTTCATGTACTGGTAACGACTTTGGGAATGGCTTTTGGGTGTATGATTTATCTGTTTTTGTTGACTGGATGGCTATCAACTCGAACATTACCTTTTTACTTTGAAGCTGAAAATAATGATAATAATTTAACAATTTAACAACATTGTGATGTTGATATTATTGAACGAAAATATGTTCAAAGTGGATCTCTTTTACGCTGTGTTAGCCTCAAAGCCATGTAATAAATTCTTTTATTCACTAACAGCCCGTGCAAATGCAAGAGATCTGTGAGTATAGAAGACAGTGGAAATAGTTTGAAATTTCTCGAGTTTTATTTAAATTTCGGAATATTTTGCACACAATTGAGGCTAACACAGCGTAAAGGCGAATCCATGCTGACATGACTGACATCGAAGTTTACATTGACTAAGAACATGGCACAGTATAAGTTTTCCATTAATTAAGAAGAAAAATTGAGTTCTGTCTATGGCATGGCCTCTTCCGAGATAGCAGTTTGCATTGCATTGTGGTCTAGATTCGGTTGAAACGTGTTTTGTTCATGCTGCCAAATATGGTGTTGTTTGTACTGAAGCTAGACCGCAATGCATCACGGTTTTGTATTTCAGAGAAGGTCTATGYGAGTTCCCAAACATATCCTACAATGCATTGCGTATACATAAAAGCTACCATTCCAGCACTGCCAATAGACCGTTTGCATTATGACGTAACTTTACTCAACTACCAGAGAGCCTTGCGCATTTTCATTGTTATTCAGATTTTTAATCCCCTTTGAGATTAATAGAACGATTTCACATAAGCGTTTTTAACATGCAAATGAGTTTTTCGAGTATTTAACATGCAAATTAATTGTGACCTGAGATGAGTTGTTACCTTGAAAACTTGAGTCGAATTGGAATGCATTGTATTTATTACGAGCTTTGATACTGAATAAAATTCAAAATTGATAAACGGTGTAACTCGTCCTTTGATAATACGTTTGGGCTACCTGTGGCTTAGGTGTCGACTAATTTGCATGTTAAATACTCGAATAACTCATTTGCATGTTAAAAACGCTTATGTGAAATCGTTCTAATAAAACAATTGCCACTTATTGCATTACAAAAGAAAGTTGGCAAAGCATTCTGGTAGTTGTAGTAAATGACGCCATAATGCAAACAGGCTATTGGAAGACGATGTAACTACACGGTTTCCTTAGAAAATAGAGCAGTTTTCGTGCCTCACAAATGTTTAGAGAGAATACTTAGGTTCATTAGCGCTTTTCCACACAACACCTTTTAAATGAGTTGATTAAAATGATACAGCTATTTCAAAAAGGATGTCCGGAGATGACAGCAAATGAACACAGCACTGAAATGCATTGTGGATATTTAGAGATACATTTTGCTAGAGGCAATTTTAACAGAAGTGGAGACTTCCTGTTAGGCGTACTTTTTAATCAAAATTGGGAGGGCTTTTTTTAATAGTTGCATTTTGCTCTTTACCGTATGAAAACGCATTATATAAAGGTTTTTTTGGTGTTTACAATTTTTTTCACCACTCGTACAATTAGCTTTCAAGAGAYTTGTTTTCGAATAATATTGAAGTGCACTAATTAAAAACTATTGACTTAAGATCTCAATGAGTTTAATTTGCTCACTCGTGAACATCTGGAGAATGTTTGCTCTGGTACAATTATACCTTTGAGGGTTTTAAAACTTGGAAGTCATTAGACACGCATCCGCTATATCTRCTCTTCTTATCCTTTAATTAAACTCTTTTGAGAATAAACCAAAACTTCATGAATGAAAACACAAATTTCAAAAATATTTGTTCAAGCGTAGGTCTAGTCGGATAATCGTGCTGAGAGGCAATAAAATTTATGAAAAACGTGTTCGAGGCAACGTCTATAATGTCAAAAATGATTCATCAACAGCCGGCCGGACAAACAGAAATAGCGCCTACAGTCTAGCCRGGTAACTAGGATTGTTTTAACAGCATCAATCTACTAGAAGGCAGAGAATAACTTTTAAATCAAAGGATATGATCTGTTTAGCCCTCTTTTTTGTTTCCAAGAGCTATGGAAGGCTGCAGGACTTGGAATACAAGGCAGGAATTGTTGAAATGACAATTATTCCCATTGTATTCCCGGGGGTTGGGTTGTTTGGCTAGTGGCAATTGGCAATTGGCTAGTGTATCAACTCCGCGGCAATCTGTTCTCTGAGAGGCCGGTCTGTAAACATCTTGAATCAGATAATATGCGAAGATCTTAATTGCTTACTCTAAAATCGCTATGGCAAAATTGCTTTTTGGAATTGTTACGTTATCAATAAATACAAGACAAGTCTTTTATTTCGATGAATATAAAAAGTTAAAAATGATGAATTAAAAAGTACAATGCAAGTACTGATGTAGGTGGATTTTTAAAGAATTTTTTGTTTTGTATTACAGTATTCGAAGCAGTATCTATACGAGAAGTTTTATTTATAAAAGGCTCAATGTAAATGACACTTAGAAGATATCTTTGCAGTATCAAGATAGTCTGCARCAGCATTTTTGAGTAGCAAATGATACCTTCATAAATGGTTCTCAGAAAAGCATGTTACATATTTTTTGACAAATTCAAACCCCTTTCTATATATATCGAGAAGTTTTATAAAAGCCGGGTTTAACCTATAAGATGACTTAAAATTAGACACTCCGTTATCACGCCAAAAGTCTGCACATGATTTTCAGCAAGAAAAATAAGCAAATGTCGACCGCTACAGTTTTTTGTGTCACGCCCAGGACAGAATACAGTCAACTCTCGCCTTACGGACACCSCACTACAACGGACACCTCGATATTGCGGAMAGTAAAATATTGAATCCCTGATGAAAAATACAAAGAAATGACTGAAAGTAATTCTCGTTCGCTACTGCGGACATTAAATTACGTTCCCGAGGGTGTCCTAATAGCTATAGTCTAAAGCAATGAGTTGTTAGTAAAGAAACAAGACAAAACAATAGTTTCAGAGTACTAGCTATAAGTATCACTTATCTTTCACGGTYATATGACTCTTATTGCTTACAAAMACTTGACTTTCGCGATTTCTTCTACGCTGTGTTCAGGGCTCAATTGTGTGCAAAATATTCAGAAATTTTGATAAAACTCGTGAAATTTCAAACTATTTCCAATATCTTCTATACTCACGGATCTCTTACATTTTCACGGACTGYTAGTGAATAAAAGAATTTATTACATAGTTTTGAGGCTAACACAGCGTAAAAGAGATYGCTAAAAGGGTCAATTGCCAAAGTGACTTAAAGRGACATGGTCCACTAGCATGCAATGCGGTCGTGTTTTAGATTYTTCATATATGGAAAATGAGGTGACTTCGAATATCCATTTGTAATCCGTTTCCATCCATCGGTTTAACGGTCGAATCTTAAAGCATCTCCATTCATATAGTATAAAGGAACAATAAAGAGTAAGTTTTTGCTTATATTACGATGTATTTCTATTTTCAAACATAAACAAAAGCTCRAAAGGGATGCTGGTGGACCATGTCCCTTTAAAAGACAAGGAAGAAGTACATGTGGACCCTACACTTGCAGAGACAATAGAGACGTGCTTCATATAAAAAAACATGCAACCATTCACATGGTTATAATACTTATTATAAAACTCATTAATATTCATAAGGCAAAACACAATAGAAATCATAGCCCATGAAGAGAGTTGTATATTACATACAGATCGCCCGCTCATATTGTATATATTACTTAAAACAAACCATGGCTTGCACATCTCCCACCTATACAATTTAATTTGTAAGAGACCAACGCATCTACTAAATAAACCAATGTACGGCGGTTTGCATTGTCGACTAAGGGCGCTTTCCATTTGTCAGAACTGGCTGGCCAAACCCAGAGAAAATGTCATTATATATCATTCCCATTTAGTTAGGAAATTCAGATTTTCAAATTCTATCCATTATTCTACAGAAAACCTCGAAATGGCTGAAAAATGCTGACAAAAAGCATTATATACCTCTAAATAGAGTGGACTGGCCGGCCAGTTCTGCCTAAATGGAAAGCACCCTAAAAGTATCAGGTGCAGTAGAATGATATTTGATTTTCATTGTTGACTAAACTAAATACAATACTCCATTTTCGAATTCAAAGATTTATTTGACTACAGATTCTCTTGCGCAAAGACATTAACAAACAAAGAAGAAAGCACAAAAAAATGTTGTTAGTACAACAGCCTTGAAAATTTGCATTGCCGAGTTGAGACTTACCCTGTATTCCCATATGACTTAAGGTATGAGTCTTCTGGGAATACAGGGTTAGCCTTAACTCGGGCAAAATGTAAATTGTTAACACTATTTTACTAACAACATTTTCTCATGCTTTTTTTTGTGTTCGGTGAAGTCTTTGCGTAAGAGAATCTGCTGTCAAATAAAACACCAGTTACTGGCTTTGAATTCGAAAATGGAGTATTTCGTTAAGCTCTTCTAACATCTGTTCTGAGTTTGCAAATCTTAAAAGATCACAAGGAAAGGCTTGCATGAGTCAAAAGTTGCCATGACAATTTAGGTATATAATAGTGGTTTTCTTATAGGCTGCCTGGAGTGCACCAAACTACTTTTTCGGGTTCTTATTACCCATATGTCATAATTTTCTTACCCGTGTTGGACTCACATGGTGTTTTTCATTATTATTGATGTCACGAAAACTTAATATTTATAAATAGAATCTTTAAATAGTTATTTCAAAAGGGAATATAACAATATACTCCAATAACGTATTGGTTTTGCCTGGGGGGATCGCTTCCGAACCAATTTTAAGAGATCCCTAGAGCCAAACTAAGAGGTCATCGACGGGGAGGTTGTCGCATTTGAGTGCGAAAAGCAATAAGAGCTATTCAATATTTACGGCTTATTTTAATTCATTTTCTAAAATTGATAAAAACAGAGCACCATCGAAGGAACATAATTAATATATATTGTAAAAATTACACACTCCCAGATGCAGACTCGCATGGAAAATCATCTTCAACAGTWAAGTCTTATTGGCTCATTTAACCAGATTTAACTGGTTAACGTTTTGCAGTGTAGAAAGAACACTATCAATTTCCTTTGCAAGGTGCCAAATTTTTCATTAATAAAATCTACCCATGGTACATTTCGGCCGTATATTCTCCAAACCAGCAGTCTTTCTGAACATGTCCTTCACGAGTTTGTAAGGTTTCTTGTGATTGGAGGAATAAAACAATGCTCATTGTTCCTCGTACTTAAATTCTATTTTCTTTTATTTTTCAACAAATAGCTAGTAAACCAGTTGAAAAATAATAATAATCTTTATTTCAGTAAAATATGTACAAAAGGATAATATATTACATGCAAATACTAGAGTTTGTGTAAAAATATATTACAATACAATAATTAAATTGGTTCAATACTTAATTCGTGGTCAATGGACCTGAGTATGAAAAGTCGTGAGTCGGATAAGAGGACTACCGATTCTGAAAAATAGAATATGACTTTTGGGGCTCATGTTAATGTGCACGTTCATATAGTTTCCATTTTAGTTCGGTAGGAAGCAGTGACGCTGCAGGACAGAAATTGCTTTTGTGAACAGGTGTAAAGTTGCGGTTATATAGTTTTGCATGCGATGCCATCGAGTGTTCTCGAACGTTTGATCAATGTTAACCTTCGTTTACATTTATTTGGTAAATAAAAGCTAAAATTCTCAACAATTACGGATGCACAGTCAAAAACTCGTAAAGCAATGATTGATAGTTTAACATGAACAATGTTGTGGCTAGTGTTTACAAAAACCGAAGAGCCCTAGAAGAAGGCACAGTTTGACGTAAATTAACCCTACAATGAGCCTAAATGTCGTACATTTTTAGTGCTAAAAGTCGTTTTTATTTTACCTTACAACGAAAATGACTATTTAGTAAATATTTGTTGAAAATTGCAATAGATTCAGAGTGTAATACCAACTATTAGTCTCCAGTAATCTGCGCACGGTCAAATATAATGGACTCTAAATCTAAAATTGGTATAGGTGTATGTGATATATTGAGAAGTGGTAGGCGGTGTTGATGATAAGACTATAGAAAGGGGCTTTCGCCCTGCTGTTTATCTTTCCAGGTACATTCTCTCGAAACGTTTTGATTAACTTCTTTTTCAATAAACCAAAAAGGGCTACAAAAATGAAAACTGACACAACATTGGAGAAGGCACGGAATTCTTGTAGACTTATCAATAAGGATCCTATAATCACGAAGCAATGTATTTCGACAAGATATCGATACAATTTCTTAGGATCTTTTTCAAAAAAAGCTTGTGGAGCACACAATCCTTTTCTTTCTAATTTTGAGTAAAATTTTCTCTGCTTTGGAATGAATCCACAGTAAAAATTTTCTCTAAGAATATTTTATTGGTACAAATAAGTTATTTGAAGCGCAGCGCTGTGAAGTTAGGGATTTTCATGGGTTTAACGCCGAAAGTTAGAGCGAAGTAAAAAACGCGTGAAATAGAGATCACACTAATACATCTTAGTACGGTCTAATTGCATTGTTTTCTTTCGTGTCTATTTGAATATCACAGTTCAACATTCAACGTTTGTTTCACGGGTTTAATGAATTAACTTCCCAGAGCCTCMTTATCCTAATATATCAAATTATGCGTGTTCGTTCCCTTGGAATTTTTATTGGTCTCTTAATGCCCTCGGGACAATAGAGAAAAACATTGAACATTCAACTAAGATATTACGTAACATATAGTACTTACATTTTCCCACGTGAATTCCGTCTTCGGCCGTCGTAAGAAAAACACTTTGTTCACTTTCTGGCCAAGGAGATCATCTCCAAGGGTAGCWGTCAAGCACGAACCCGCCATAGATATAGTCATATCCTCTRCAATAACAAAACTGAAGGGAAARATATCAAAAAACGTCGACAACCGCAATGTTTTCTGTAGATATTCCGATGAATGGAGCATTTTTTCAGGACTGACAGGTCTCGAAGCTTGATTGTCAAAATGAAGTCTGTATATGATATGTGATCGTTTAGATGATAATTGTTCTCCAATAATACTCGTCTTTATATCCATACGGTAAAACTCTTTAGCTATCTCTTCGATTTGTCCAACTACGTAATATTTAAAGCCAAAACGTTTCGATACATAATGAAGGGTAAGACCTCCGCTTGTTTCGTCCTCACAATAGAAGCTTGGAGACTCCATCTTTGGATAACCGAATCGCATATGCTCGTGAATAGTATCGATGCTACTTAAAAATTCCGCGAAGTTTCGTCCAGTTACGCGTATAATTCTATCATATCCATAATTCGAGAAGAATTTCACAAAGAAAGTACCAAAAAATCTCATAAAATCTTTAATCTGTAGTCCCTTGTCCTGGCCAACAACTTTCAATGCACCTTCGGCAAGTTTCAGAAACAGATCGTCGCTATAGCGCTGGTGTGTTATGAAAACGTGGTTCTGAACTCCCGCCAATGAACGTATCTTCACCCAAGCTTCCTCGCCGTACATCTCTTGAAGATAATGCTGAATGCTTTCCAGAAGCATTCCGTACATACTGAAAGGTCACCTCTTGAGATTAATCATCTGTATTGAATGAGAGAAAATAATAATAACTTGGAGATCTTATAAGAGGTTTATTCGCCGTGCGTGCGCGGTTGGTTGCACAGGAGCAGGTGTTAGATGGCATACAGTGTGTTTCAAAAGGTTTACCGCTGAAGGCGGAAGCATTACGAAATGAAAAGTGTCGCCGGGCATTACGAAATCAGTAGTGTCGTATTCCGGTGACTCTAAAACGAAGCTGCCCTAGAATCAGCTTTTTTTGCTATATTTTTGTTTGAAAAAAGCAAAAAAAAAAGTGCATTAAATACATATTTCTCATGTTGTGTAAATATTTAAAGTTTCTTTTGTTCTTCTGTCCTCCACCAGTATTTAAACCAGGAATTTTACGGAGACCAGTTTCGCTTTATTAAGCATTTTCAATCTGTATTTTTTGTAAAATTCATGGTTTAAATGCTTGTGAAAGACAGAAGAACAAAAGAAACTTTAGATATTTACACAACATGAGATTTTTTTCAAGGTCTTTCGAAATCAAAATAAGAAACATTTCAAATAAAACTACCAAATGTTATAGTCACGCAAATGCCTAAATACTAGATAATTTTAAATTTCAATCTAGTAAAAGAATTTTAAAATTCATTTTTCAATCATTTTCTTAGCCAAATTTCCTCCGAGTTATAACTTTAGCTCGAGTGAATTGTAATGTGAAAGGAAATATGCTAATGAGAGTTGACAGACTTTAATTTCCATTGTTTTTTTTGTTGGTATTCGAATATTGCACTCTAAATTCCCATTCACACCGGTGAATTTTGTTGTTATTTCTTATGCGATTTCTCAGGCGAATATCAAAAATACATAATAGATTTTGTCTTATCCTTGTGAAGAGAAGTTTACTTAGCTTATCTCTATACTGAACACAATTTTGCAAGTAAATTATTTAACATTATAGGATCAAACTGATCGCAAAATCGCCGTTAAATACGCCAGTGTAAAAACGGGCCTTAAATGTTTATTGAGTGATCTTTCTCAAGTTTATATTACTAGAACTTAGAAGGACCTATTGCTTCGTTGAGAATTTCCYAAAATTTCAGCGCTGTCACCATTATTAAAAATGCTGTATTCAAACTAAATGCAAAGATACCAATCTCTATTTATAAACAAAGTTCTTGTCCGTCTTGTTTTTAGAGATAAACGAATGAAATGAAAGCAAAGAGGGAGTTCTCGATCAGGGTAATTACTTAGAAAAAATAATAAGTYAGCATTTATTTGACAAACCGCATGGGATTTCTAGACAAATCAATCTTGATRTTTCCAACGCGGCTAACTTTGTTATCAGATGTAGCTTATCGGGGTGTTTCTAAAAATATTTCTCAAGGAAAATTAATAGGACGAACTATAAACAGGGGAAAAACGGTACCGAGCATCGCACCATCAAACGTCGGGTAACTTTACATCGTTGGACGATCAAACATCTTCTTGGATGGCCAAATACCTSMTAACATAGGTTGTCACAAATCATTTTAAGCCTGCTTTTTGATTGCTCCGTTAGTACAGAACCGCCATTATAAGATRTCGTTTTATGGAAKGGCATCAATTGTTTCATGTCGACTCTGTCTATAACACGTTTGATCGCTTCCATCAGATCCTTTTTATTAAAGAATCATAACCAACCGCCGTACCTTGCGCGCTCGTGTTATTGTTACATACGTTTAAATGCGTCAAGCATACAATAGATTATAGATTGATAGTACCTGTGAGGTACTTAGTGAAATATATTTCTGTCCAAACTGAAAGGACGGAAGACGATTCCCGCTCACTTTAAGAAATCCTACGAATCCGCCATTTTCGTGTCCACCTAAAATGGCGTTTCGGCTCGCAATGTACGGCGGTTGGTTATGATTCTTTAAGTAACATTGAGTGCTTTGTCTTAAACTGGAGTTAATTAGAAAATTGTTATTATTTCATTGGTTATTATGCCTTCATAAATTAATATTTTTACAGACATCTTGTCATGAGAAAAAACACACAGCCATGTGGGATTTAGATATGATTGCTTGGTGAACGTAATGCCAGAAGCAGTATGGGGTGATTTTCTTGGGGCTTTTACGACTTTCGAGGGCGTGCCACTTAACAAGGAGTTGTATCGTGCGTTCCCAGTCTCAATAGGGAGGTTAACAAAAAGAGTTTTAGGGTGYTTTCCATTTAGGCAGAACTGGCCGGTCAGTCCACTCTATTTAGAGGTATATAATGYTTTTTGTCAACATTTTTCAGTCATTTCGAGGTTTTCTGTAGAATAATGGATAGAATTTGAAAATTTGAATCYYCTAACTAAATGGTCTGGCCAGCCAGTTCTGACAAATGGAAAGCTCACTTAGATTCACGTTTACTGCAAAACGCAAAACGTCAAATTGGCTTTTATGTTGTCTCAAAATTTCAATCAAACGTAAAAACGCTTCGAAAGGAATGGTGTACGAAAAAGTGATCTATTTTGTACACAATCGCAAACTTCGCGAAAGAACGGAGCGTTAATAGAAGAAAAACAGTGCGGATCAGGTAATCAGTTTTGACGTTTAGCRTTCGCCGTAAACGCGTATCTAAAACTCTTTACAGCGTAACGGCGAAAGTCAAACGTCACATTGTCTTGTACGCCTTTGTTTTAAAAATTTTAAGAAAACGTAAAACTCTTCGAAAGGAATATTGATGAACGCTTGCACAAGAAAACGAACATATTTAAATACAAACGAAAAAGAACGGAGCGTCAAACTGAAAACGAATAGTCACGTGATTACTTTTGACGTTTGCAGTTTAACGGGAATCTTAAACTCTTTCCATCGTAGAATCAARTATAATTCGTATCTGAATATTTCACATTATGTTTATCTTGCTAATGACAAATGTTTCTTGTTAGGAATTCACAAAATGATTTTATCTCGCTGAAATACAAGTTAACCGGAACTGCCAGTGGCGACTTAAAATTTTTCATTTCTCTTAGTGTCATTTTTTAGATATCCTATGTTAAAAACGGCATTAGAAAAAGAGGTAATCAAGGTTTTTCTATTTGAGAGGTTTGTTTATGAATTTAACTCCTCGGCCACAAGTCAATGGTATTCGGTATTGGTGTTAGATTTTTTTTAAATTCGCGGTTCTCAAGAACTGAATAAAACATTTTTGCACTTGGCGAATCTTGTTTGACGTGGWGAGCGGTTTATGGTGGATGCAGTTTAAACGTTTGTGGGTATATTAAATTACASGGGTTTTCAATGGTCTTTGCTCTTACTTATTATCATTTCATGACAAATTCTCATTCAAGAGCTAGTCGTAAAAAGAAAAACAAGAGGCTCTGAATATAAATAAACTCCGATAGTGCTGCAAAAATCTGTACGCACTTGAAATAATGTATTCATTTTAGTGAAAATATATATGCATATAGCGAGATGAAGAAGAGCGGTAAGAGATAGCACATTGCCAGCTATAACGCTAACGTTTTTTCTACAAATAAGCCTAAGAATCATATTATGAAAGAWTTGATTTTCAAGATAGGGCAGATAGATAATGCATTAAACTTAATTCCTTTAAAAAAAATACAAATTCAAGGTAAATATGATTCTGATAATAAGTCAGCCTTGGGCAAAATTTATGAAAAATATACTCACAGCCGTTAATACCAACTCAGTATGGWCACTTAGGTTTTGTAGGCTACTAGAAGAGCTGTTCACTAGCAGCTGTACGTTAACGATGTGGTTGAGAGGAAACTGAATGTGGTACCGTCCAGCGGCTTTGCGTATTTGGTTAAGCGAATCGATTTTAATTAAAATTCCTCTCGAAAATTTGCAGTAAAATTATAATTAAGTTGAATCGTATTCGAAACACTAAGAGTATTTTAGCCTAAAAAGCCAATGAATTTAGTTGGAAATAGGTAAAAATAGTACTTACTGACTAATACTGACTGCCCATCACGGCACAGCGACTTGTGGGATAGAAACAAAGCCAAGAGTAAAAATCCTAGCTTTATATTCTAATATTATTCAAATCGGGACTCTCTCTTTGTCCTATCGCAGTGTGACCACCGCTACAATATTAACCAAGGATAACAATTAAAAAATCTACTGAGTTATCAATGACTAAGTTTTGCTATTTTACACCGTGTTATCTTGGACTGTAAAAAGATATGCAGAAATTTAGAAAACTCACAGTGAGATTTCAATCTATTTTCATTGTCCCTCTATACTCACAGACTGATCTCTTGCATTTCTAGGGTTAGA